GCCTTTTAATAAATCAAGCACGAGTGGGCACAGCCTTTCCTCCAGGAGGACAATCCGTTAAGTGCAGAACAGAATCAGCATGTTCCATCCAAGACTCCATCATATATAATGCATGCGACAAAGTTTGGCAACAGTGCAGCTGATGTGATGACCCAGCTAACCAATAAGAACCCACCAGAGAAACCATTTGATTTAATATAGTGGTTACTTTTTTTTTTTCTTTTTTTTTTTAAGGGCTCAAGTGAAAGAACTGTCTTTGTCAACTTTGGCTTAGAATATCTTTATAAAGTTCAGGTACTTTTTCTGGGTCCACTGGTCTGGGTAAAAAATGTGTAAATTTCTGGTGCCGTTTAGTCCTAGTTCCTTCCCTTGGAGTCCCATCTTTATTCAACGCTACATAGTATCGACGTCCAGTGTCTGCGTGTTTATAGAGGTTCGACGAATATGTGTTGTACCAGTTTTCTTCAAATTGCTCTCGAAACACACACTCTTGAGTCAGTTTCTCCTGTAAAAGATACACAAAAATGGTTAATACCGAACTTTATGCTTAAGCCATCAAAGCAATGAACACCCTAACATTGGTGACACACAAGGACTGGTGTGTCCAGGTTTTTTTTATTTTAGCCAATCACTACCATCTCCTCCAAAAGTAACTTATGTTCATATACAGGGTTATTCACAAAAGGGTGAAGGGTTTGGAGAAGGCAGGAGAAGTGATCTAGGACAACATAGCTGAACTTGAAAGTGAGCTGAATTGGAGAAATTGTTGCAAATCATCTACTTTCATCTAGACTGTTCCCTTCTCCTGCCTTCTCCAAACTCTTCTCCCTTTTGCGAGTAACCCTGATAATGTTTGTTTGGACAATTATTTAGCAATCAGATCATGCCCAACAACACTAACATCTAGGGTTAACTTCACCTCAACCTTGCTTATAAAAAAGGGTGAGCAAATGAGCAGTGCTACTCTGAAAATGAAGGGCAAGCGAAATGATCCTAAACGATCATCTATAGGAGCACAATTTTGTTATAACAGGTGATACAGTTTTTATAAATTAGGGTTATAAAGCTGGGCTATAATTCTAAATCTGTTGTTATCTGTGGAACTTTTAGCTAGAACCAAAAGAAATTTCATATGGGTCATATGGGTGTACACATGTGAGCAGGAGTAGCTAAATCAGCCATTTGTTAATCTTTGATTTGCCTAAACATTTGTATGTAGATCTGTCTGGTATACAGAAATACATTAATTCAAGAATTCAGGGAATGGCATTTCATGAATAAATTAGGTGGTGTTACACAAAGAAACGCACTTCAATATAATCAATATCTTCCAGGTGACACTGGGCTTAAGTATATATTTTTTAGTTTTGGATACAGTGTAAGAAAAAGGAGGAAAAGGTTTTCGTACAGCAATTAATCAGAATTTAGCTTTTATTTTCCCAGCCTGCAGGAAAAAAAATAAAAATAATATATATATATATATA